TATATATATATATATATATATATATATATATATATATATATATATAAAATCTGTATGCCTCTTTTATAATTGTCCATTTTTGTCCTCATTCTTTGTTGAAGTCAGGTCTCTCTTGTAAATGAGTCCTCGAGGCTCAATGGGATTTACCTGTCTAAATAAAGGTTGAATGAATATAACCTGTCCTGAATATCTGACCTTGCAAATAAATACTGGTTAAAAATCTTCTGCTGTCGAATGTGGTTCTTTTTGAGTAAGATAAGCAAGAATATTTTTTCCAATACGAGGTTGCGTGTTCGAACCCAGGTTGTGTCAGAAAGAGTATTTGATGTAAAACAATTGCCAAATCTTTCATGGGAGTTCGCTCCCTGTGGCATCCCCTGAAGGAGGGCAGCTGAACGACACTATTTACAAGAAGAAAGGTCTTTATGAAGTCGGAATAGCTTAAAAGGTTTAACCAGACCAAGTGGGTAGACAAACTTATTTAAGTAAAAATGTTTTTAGGGTTTATTTTTCACAAGCTTAAAAGAAATGCACAAGCACTTATCAATCTGCAGGTGTTACAACTCTGTTAGCAAAATGTCTCATGAACCACTGTTAGGATTTTAATAAAACTGTTGGGAAATAATCATTAGATGCATCTGTAACTGATTCTGGAGTCAGTCTAACTCAGGACAAGCCTGACTTCATAGTTTGCAAAAAGTACTTTACACAAGTGAACTCTAAATAAAGTGGATAAATAAAGCATGCTGCTTCCTCTCACCTGTCTCTCTGTGTCCACCTCCAGGATGTCCATCATGTTCATCATGATGTTCTTGTGGGTTTTCTTATATTTTCCTACTCTGAGGGACATGGTGAGCCATCCTGGACGACCTGTGCACATGTAGGTCTGACCACCCCCGTTCCGCCACTCACGGACCTGAAGTGTGTGGAATAAGAGAGAAAGCAGGTTGTGCGTCAGGGTTCACTCTTTCTGAGGAGCTCATCTGAAACGCAACATCAAGCCTTCTCCATGCACTCCGAGGATAAATACACCTACCTGTCTCTGGATGTTTCGTACCCGCTGGTTGTGTAATTTGGGCGCAGAGCACATCTTAAAAATGAGCCATCCTCTCACATAATAATACACATCGAATAGGACGGAGAGCGGCAGCAGGAACAAACACACAAATATCCACCTGTGGTGAACGATCACATAGTCCAGACCTTTAACTTTGATCCACAGCAGGAACAAAACCACCAAACCCCCTAAACACAGCAGCGGCTCCATCGTCCAGAGCCTGGTCTGCAGAGAACTGCTTCCAAAAATTTAATAAAGTTTCACTTTTCAACCCGGTGAAAATTACGTCATCGCTAAACTGGTCAAACCATCCCAAACCCCGACACCAGATTACCTACTTGACTGCTATAGGGGAGCTAAGCAGGATGGTCTTTAAGCCCCGCCTTATCTTCACGCCGATTGGGTAGTATGACAAAAGAGGCGGGACTGATTGCGCAAAGTCAAAGCTTATTGGTTAAAGTGGGTGAAGGGTAGAAGCGTGTCTGTTGTTTGACCAATCAAACAGCACATCCTCTGTCACCCCATGCACCCTATCCACATGGCTGCTGTGAGACAAAAAAAAAAAGAAAAGAAAAGAAAGAAAGTTGGATGACAAGACACCAAACTTTTGCATATTGGTGCAAAAACCCAAGCAAAAAAATAAAAATAACATGGCAGAGACAACTCATTCTCACAGTCGCATTGTTTTTTTTCCCCTCAGGTAATTTTAGCTGTATGGATCCATTCTGCATAATTAATGCCTAAATGTATAATTTCTCAACACTAAATATAGTAAAACATGAACTGTGTGTGTGTTAAATATATATTTTATTCAGTAACAATAATTGTGAAATTAATTTCTTTACTTCCTAAAGAAAATGTAGATAAATTCATTGTATGGAAGCTTATTTCTGCCATTTGAAAAAAAATAAAACAGCAGTATATCTTTCAAAGTTATGATTTAGAAACAAAATATTCATGGGTTTTATCTCATATTATGAGATAAAATGTCACATGGGTGGCTGTGGCTGAGTGGTTAGAGCAGTCGTCCTCCAATGCAAGAGTTGGAGGTTCGATTCCACCAGCAGTCACATGCCAAAGTGTCCCTGGGCAAGACACTGAACCCTCATTGCCTCTGATGTGTGTCCCATCAGTGTATGAATGTGATAAATCACTGATTAGTCTCTTTAGAATGATTTGTTCAATTATCTTTGTAGAGATCTAGTAAAGTGCTGTATGAATGGGTAAATGAGGACACAGATTGTAGTGTAAAGTGCTTTGAGTACCTTGATAAGATAGAAAGGAGCTATATAAGTACAGTCCATTTACCATTTACATTAA